CTGTCGTACACCCCTGCGCCTCTCCCCGCTGCAGGGCGAGGGTGGCCCCCGGGGCGAGCGAGGGGAGCCTGGCGAGAAGGGCAGGGACGGCGCCCCGGTGAGTACTGCACTGTGCCCCCCCCGGCGCTGACCCCGGACCCCCGCCTGGCACTGACCCCATCCCTGTCTCTTGCTCCAGGGTCTCCCGGGTGAGAGGGGGCTGACGGGCCCTGAGGGGAAGCCGGTGAGTGGGGACATGGGTGGGTGGACACGGGCTGGGATGAGGGGAGGTCCTGTGGTCCCTCATCAGTCTCCACCGGCACCAGCAGGAGCATTCACATCTCGTCCACTTCCTTCCCCCGCTGTGCAGGGCCCGCAGGGCTTTAGGGGGGGCTGGGAGGCCCCTAAAGTACCCTGGACTGGGTACTGCACACTGGGAATGGGGAGCATCCCTGGGGTGCAGGTGAGGCTGCTTGGGGCGGTGGGCTCCTGCTCCCCCACCGGCTCTGACGTGGTTCTTTGCAGGGTGTGACAGGCTTTCCCGGTGCACTGGGACGCCCGGTAGGTGTCTGTGTCCCCCCCATGTCACTGTGCCCTCCGCCCCAGCGTGCAGCCGGGGGTTCCTGGCTGCAGGCTGTGGGTGAAGCTGTGGGGGCCACCCTGCTGACTGGGGGGGTGCTTGGCCCCCGGGATTTTTTTTGCCAGGCTTCTCCTCACTTGGCATGGGTGCTCACCAGAGCCGCTGGCACTGTCTGAGTCTCCTCTCCCAGGAGGCACCCCATGTACCCACCAGGGAAAACCCATCCCTGCAGTGACCCCATCTCTTCCTCCCTTCAGGGCAACCAGGGAGACCCAGGACCCCCAGGACCTCCGGTAAGGAGCCACCCCATGCCACCTGCAGGGGACCATCATGCAAGGGAGCAGGAGTGGGGTGGCAGTGCTGGGACCACTGTGCCACCAGCAAACACCACCCTGACGTAATGTCCCCTTGTACTTTTGTCCCCACAGGGCAGTGCTGGCCCACCAGGGACCCAGGGCCCAGCTGGGACCAAGGTACGGTGTCAGCATCAGCATCTGCATTGGCATCAGCATCGCCACGTCCGACCTGGCAGAGGAAAGCGGTGCCTTGCCAGACTTGGATGCTGGAGGAAGGGCCACATTTCGGGACATTTTGGGCTGGAGGGAGGAACGTTTTTGGCTGGGCCCCTCCCAAATCCAGCCAGCCCTGGGGAACAGCCCCATGGCAGGCACAGGGATGTGTCCGCGACTGCGGTGGCCGGCAGGTCAGGGCGGTGGGACTGATGCAGGCACTCTCTTTGCAGGGTGATCCAGGGGAACCTGGCTCCGGCATCCGGGTGAGCACCCACGCCCTCCCCACCGCCTGCCTGACACCCCAAGAGCCAACTGGCCCCTCTGCTGAGCACCTTCCCACGAGGGCAGCTGAGGTCCCACTGTACTAGGGCAGCGGGACATCCCCTCTGACATGGCGTTTGCATTGCAGGGCTTGCCCGGTCCCCAGGGCAGCATGGGGCTTCCCGGCCCCCCCGGCCCCCCTGGCCCAGGGGGAGGTATTCCCAGCCTTCCCATCCTGCCCCTTGGCCGTTCCT